CCCTCCTTTTCCGCTCACGATCCCCCACCCCCGATCCCCTCCCCTCGGCACCTGCGAGCCCGTCCGGCCGTGGCCACAACCAGCAGGACCTTGTCACTAAAGACGGCCGTCATCCTCTATTGTCCCCCCGCCACTGTGCCTAAGCAAAGAATTTTGGTTGTTGTTTTTGTTGCGCCGTGCTCCGAGTGCCAGACTCTCTCGGGGAAGGGTAGGTAGGTGTACCACATCATCACCACATTCCCCTCGCCAGCCCGGTTCCCCCGGCTGCAACACCCTAACTACAGCACCACCGCGTCCAAGACTACCCTCGTTAGTGGGCGGGAGGTCGTGGCCTTGCCAAGGTCACACACTCACACTAACTTACACACACGGACACGCGCGCGCGCTCACACACACTGCACCTGTGATTCATAAAGAAACGAGCAGGTCACTGGGTCAACAGGGGGCCGTCGGGGCCGCAGAGAAGCGCTGCCCTTGGCGAGCACGGACTCCCGTGCTCGGCTTGGAAAAACTTTGCACTCGCCGCAGCGGAGCGCCTCCCCTGCGCCCCGCCACCCCGCCACGGGGCACAGACACGCACAAAGGGCGCCCTGCTCAAGTCTTCGACAAGCAGAGGGCCGTGAAGCACCACTACCGGAGGGGATGGAAATAAAAACAGGCCGGCGGGGCGGGGCGGGGCGGGCCGGGCCGGGCCTCGCCCCTGGTGGTGTTCCTTCCCTTACCTTTGTCGAGGCACGTCCCCACGAGGCAGCACGGCTCGTCGCCCGGGTCGCGGCAGCACTCCACCACATCGCGGCACGTCGTCAGCGGCGTGATGGGCACCTCGGTGACGGCGCCGTCCGCCTCGCCCTCCGCCACCACGCGCACGATCATCTGGAAGGAGAGGAGGAGCGTCGAGAGATGAGTACAGTCAGGTGCAATGGGCCGACCTCGGGACCGACACAACACAGCGGATTGTCATGTATGTATTCGGATCACCTCCGAGTCACCTCCCGGATCTATGTGGAGTACCCCTAAACCACCTTCTAACATCCACCTATCTACCGAGTGCGCTGCGCTGGCTGCGCTGGCTGCGCTGAGCGCCTGCCAGGCACGGGTAGGCCGCCGCGGGCGGGGCGCGCACAGCTGACCGGCGGGCGGCCGATCCCCGGGGGCCCCAGGCGCCCCAGGCGCTCCACGGCTTGGAGGCCGCGCCGCACTTGTCACCCGACCCTGGCAGCGCGGGAGAACTTGCCAATTTTAAAATGTGGTGCCCCGTCCCGTCGTCCGAGTCAACAAAGCAATAATGAAAAGAAAAGCTGGGGACGCCGGGAAACAACACCAACAGAGTGGCTTGTGCGGAGCTGGGCCGGGAAAGGTCGCGGGTCAGAGAAGGGTGCCACTGCCTCACCTCGGCACCCGAACCGAGGAAAAAGGGACGGGGGCAGGGGCGAGCAAGGGCGAGAGCGAGAGAGGAGACCTAGGCCACTGCAAGCCCGGGACCAGAGTTGCAGCGGGGAACTTCTGCCATCCTCGCCCGGTTTCGCCCGTTACAGCATAATGGTGTTCGGATCGGATACGGAGGGGTGGCGGGCGCCGAGTGACACAGAGAAAGAGAACGGAGAGGGGGGGGGGGGAGTCCTCCAAACTCGACAACGAGAACACAGATGACAGCGAACTCTCCGCGACTGCTCCGCGCTGCTCCCGCGGGCGGGCGCCCGGCGTGCGGGGCCGCGGGCCGAGGGGGCGCCAACAACTGTCAAAGGCGCCATCCCCGCCTGAATCAACAGGTAAACTTGTGTGTCATGAGAGGAGGGCCTGCGAGCTGAACGCCCCGCGCTCTCTCGCACTCGCTGCAATGTATTCATCTTGCACCGACTGTCTCCCTCACACACACTAGGGCTGCGCGTACCCCTCGCTCGCTCGCTCGCCCGCACGTGTTGTTCGGTGTGCGCCGCCACCACCGCCGCCGCAACTCGGGAGGGGAAAACTTTTTTCCGAGACAAAGCAGAGCAGGATGTGGTGCGACTCACCCCGCCCCACCCCGCCCCGCCCTGCGCCCCGTGGGCATTCCCTCCCCATCCCCAGCCCCGCGCCCCGCGGCACCAAGGCCGCATCACATCATGGACCAGGCCCGGCACGGCACGGCGGGGACGCCATTTGCAGCGAAATGAGGATGGTTTAAATAACTAAGGGCCGTCATCCTACACTGCCGGGAGGCTGTGGGGATTACTGAGCTGGAAAGGTGTGAAGAGGAAATGATTCATCATTATAATGATTACTTCACAATGTTGTTGTAGTGAAGAACAGGAGGATGTTCATGTTGCTGATCCTCCTGACCTTGGCTCCTCAGTTTGATCCACCAAATTAAGTAAAGGGGTGAATCGTTAATTAATATTGACAGGTACACTGCACTCCTCCTCGTCCTAAAAAGTCTGTACTGTACGGGACCTTGCTTTGAGAGGATCAGAAAAATTTGTCATTGATTGACAATGGCTTTCATGCGCTGCAGGGATAAAGGCTGACCTGAGAAGAAAGGAAGGTAGAAACACTGGGACAAAGGAGGTTGTGGGGATAAGGAGCGGAGACAAAGGCCAAGGGAGGGGCACAAAATAGCAGGAGTCCCACCACAGGCAGCAAAGCCACTACTGCAATTAAGAACAGAGAATAAAAGCAAAGGCAGTAAGCCTAAGAACTATTTCTTGAATCTGTATTACTGCGTGATTAGAACCGAATGATGATGTGTTCAGAGCATGAGCACCTAAAGATGGGCAAAATGAGCTAAATGTGACACATCACATCACACCATAAAACTTTAAATCCAGAACAAAATCGCTAATTAGATAGACTTACCAAAAGATATAACCTGATGCCTCGGGTAGAGGATAGAGCCTGATGATGTTGAAGAGTTCATATTGAATGGAATAAATCGCACAATCCGATCACTCTTGAAATTACTGGTATTTCACACAACAGTCATTCAATCCATTCTTTGCCCTCATCTTCAAATCGGATCCACACTTGCGGCTGTAGCAAAACAGCAAGTGGACATAGTGCAAACAGCACTATATTTAAAGGTTATGATTACGATTGAAGTTCATTCGCACTTATCACTTTTCACACAGCAAGCAAGACTATTACAAATAGAGCTCCGTTTCAGACAGAACACTATAAAATTTCGATAACAGCTGACCACAAACAAAAATAAATTTAAAAAACAAACTTTGCGTCAAGTATAAGATAAATTTCCCAAGTATGCAGATAAGTTTACTAACGGGCGGGAAGTTTCAAGTTAAGAGTAGTTTTTTGGAGGGGGTAGGGGGAGGGTTTCATTGTGGTGGGGGGAGAAGGGGAGGGACAGGACAGGAGGCGCCCCCCTCGGAGGGGGTCGATGTGGTGGGGGCGGGGGGGAGGGTGGTGGTGTAGGGAGTGTAAGGGTAGTGGATGGGGTGAATGTTTCACAAGGCGGCGGACCGCCGGAACTGATAAAGACCAAAAAAGTTCAAAACGCTTCATGATTTTTGTGTCATACCTGCGTAGGGGCCATGATAATCTTCTCTATATATCGTTCCAATTTTTCCAATATTACCAAACACACCGTCGAAGTTTGGTCGAAAGCGAGTACGCTTAGTTTTGCAGTGTTGCCAACATTGCCACCCGACTGCGATCATAGCAATTTCTCATACATGTCTGGCGGAAGTGGAAGCACGTGGTGGACGCATGACCCGACCGACACCATTCTTGTTCCGGCCACCGACCGAGCGACACACACTCCTGGACGCCGCTCTGCAAGGACGCCTAGAACATTCGCCTGAGAAGCACGCCGAGGAGTTCTGAAATCTTTTGTCTCGTTTCCCTGTGTTAATCCGCAAACCTGAAAATGCAGAAGATCAAGCTTCAAAGTTCTGACGGTGAGCTGTGCGAGGTGGATGTAGATGTAGCCAAGTGCTCCGTCACCATCAAGACCATGCTTGAGGACCTGGGAGTCAACGAGGACGAGGAGGAACTTGTGCCTCTTCCCAACGTGAATTCTGTAATCCTCAAGAAAGTGATCCAGTGGGCGACACACCACAAGGACGACCCTGCTCCCCCCGAAGATGATGAAAACAAAGAAAAGCGCACGGATGATATTTCAACTTGGGACGCCGACTTCTTGAAGGTAGACCAGGGCACCTTGTTCGAACTTATTTTGGCTGCCAACTACCTGGACATCAAGGGTTTGCTGGACGTGACCTGCAAGACTGTCGCCAACATGATTAAAGGCAAAACCCCTGAAGAAATCCGGAAGACCTTCAACATCAAGAATGACTTCACCCCAAGCGAGGAGGAACAAATCCGTAAGGAGAACGAGTGGTGTGAGGAGAAGTGATGTTATTTGACGACTGAACTTTTTTACTCTATTGCATTTCTGGAAATGTTTCTTTGTTTGGCTTGTCAGTAGAATTGCAATTTAAAGTGACGATTTTGACTGACCCCTTGTTTTAACGATGTCGGTGATAACTAGGCTGTAGTATTCTATTCAAATTACCGGTGATGGATTTTCATTCTGCTGCAAATATTCTTTGTTTTCTGATGCCATATTCTGCACTTCCGTCCATTTGCCAATCCAGCGCTATTCTGCGAAACTTCCGAACCTAGTATTAGCTTTTCGGAAGTCATGTCTTCCGTGTTAAATGAATGTGGTTTCTAATTGTCTTAGATCAAATTTTATTCTTTCTGAACTGTTTTCTCTTGATTTATCTTAAATTTTGACCGCATATGTTCGGGAAAGTGAGTCAATGGCCATCTTTCAAATGTTGGTTGTCTACTTGTCAGCTTGTTTTGCTAATCTTATTTTATTTTGTTTAACTTATCCAACTAACCCTGTGATGGTTTCAGTTTTAAAGTTCTATCTGCTTTAACTGTTTGTCATTCCCTGTGTTTCAGAGATACTTTTCTAGATCATAACTTCCATTTCGTAATTAGGGTACTGATAATTTTGTTTTGTAAGACAGCTGTACTTTGTACTCATTATCACTTGTATGAATCTGAACCACAAATTTTTCTTAATAAAAATGTATATTTGATACATCAATTGTTCTTTGTATTGTTACTTGCCTTGCCTACTAATGCATACTATAACCACTGAACTTCTTTGACGCACAACTGTGAACATTTTTAAAAGAGGCTCTGAAAGCTATGACATTAACTTAACTTAGTCCACGAGAGCAACTTACCCTATCTGGAGCTCAAGTTTTCATTTTGTATGGAAATACCTGAAACACTTCCTTACCTTAAATACATTATTTCACCTGAAGCTGTGGGATTAGCTCGTATGAATGAAAACAAATTTAATCATGAACAGTTACAAAAGTTTTAAGATTTGTTCAAGAAAGCATTACTGGTATTGCCTTATTACAAATAACTTGATAAATTTCTACTCATTTTACTTCATATCCTACTTCTGTTGGTTTCTTGTGCCTCAACTTGAAACGAAGGGACTATATAGTAAGTCAGCCAGTTCAAAAGTCGTTTGAGGCAAAGTGAAGAGAACGGGAATCATGTCAGAAGAACAAAGCCATGGCTGGCTCCCTCTCCTAAAAATTCAGAATTTGAACGGACAGCTCATGTTAAATAGAAATAGGGAGAGAGGGGGGTCATTTGGTCGCTGCTGTATATCACCAGCCTTCCAATGCAAAATGTCAGGCTGATAGCCAGCCGCCCTCCACATCCTAAACTGCTCGAAGTAAGACGATCCTGACCCACCGTAAGCAGAACCAAACAAAAATATCCTCGAACGTAAGGTAGCCCAACCGGCCGAGCATGGGTAGGTCCAGGTCCAGTCCGCTCGAGCAGGAGGGGGCGAGGGCGAGGCGTCCAGCGAGCAGGGGCGCTGCGCGCCTGCGGAGCAGGCCGCCCGGCCGCAGCCACGTCCCTTGGGTTGCCTACCTCCCGGGCGGCCCTCGCACCTGGCGGGCGGTAGCGGGCGGACACGGCGCCGCTCCGCACTGGTAGGGCGGTGGGTAGTATGTTCCCCACTCTCCGCCCTGATAACGCTATCATTACGGCATGTCACCCGGCCCGCGCAGCCTTTCTCATTGACCCCCCC